GAGCAGAAAGGAAGGATAGCGTTATGTGAAATGGCCAAACAATTAAACTTATTTAAATTCTGCAAGTAGACTTACCCTTGGGAAGGGCTTTTTCTTTTTTCCACTGGATTTTGCAGAGCCAAAATACAGTGCCCTGTCTCTATTCACAACAATATTCTACATTTTAACAATGGACCACAGAAAAAGTTGTCAAAGATGTTTTATTTGTATGTTGTTCAACTGTGTTCTGATAATACTAACAATCTGGGGGAAAAATACCGCCCTCTGTAGCCCAAGTAAATGGCAAGTACATGGTTAACACGTGAGGACCACAATTTTGAATTTCCTAATGTTCAAAAGTATTGCAGTTATCACAGAAGCTAGGATGATTCTACTTCTCACCCTGTAAAACACAATTTTACATGTTTGATCTTCACTACACCTCCAACGTAATTAAAAAACTGTATGACTAGTATTTTTGCTCAGCTGCTGTTTATAAAACTGCTGTCATTGATGTACTTGTACTTTTCACCGTGGAACAAAAACACAGAGATTTACAAAGTTCAATATTTAGCATTTGTTTTAAACCCAGCGTCTGTTGCAGTGCTTTTTATTACATCCCTTTCATTTAAGGTATTTGTATCCTTAAATGTCTCTCTTAATGAGAACAAACTCCAGACTGTTTACAAAGTATCACCAAATAATATAATACTCACTAATAATGGTTTGGATACATCTAGAGTTCAGTTAGAAAGGGAATTAAAGTATATGTGAAGGGAGGGTCACTACAGATCACCTTGTTAAAATAAAATTAATTAGTGTATGTGAGAAGAGTAAGAAAGTAAAGATATCCTTATTAAATGGTTTTTATTGAAGCCCTGGGTACACCTACTTCCCCTGTAATTGGATGTGACAGTTAAAACCTGATCTGTTGTAACATGTCACAACAGGATAGTTAGTGCCATTTATAAAATGTCCAATTATAAACTATTTTTTCAGGGTGGGGGGAATTACATTTTGATTAGCAAGTAAATGGGAGCTGCTGGTCTCAATACTTTTTAAGATGCTTAAATATGAATTTAGGAGCCTAACTTTTTTTTTGGTAAATCTTGGCTGGAGCCCCAAAGTAGGGTGCAGGGAAAGCAGAGGTGGTGGTGGTGGTGGTGGTGGTGGGGGGGAGGGCGGGAGGGAGGAAGGGGCCTGAGATTCACACATTGAACATTGGTGGTTGCTTCCTCTGGCTAGTGAGTTTAATTCTTTGGCCAATAATTGTCAGTTCGTCAAGCCTTGTTTTTTCAATTAGTAATTAATCTCAATAACTTCTGAATTAGCATGTTTATTAAACAACCAACTATAGATGTACATAGCTATGCATACCACATCATACACTTTTTAATTTTCTGGGCAACATGTTGTATGATTTATTTATAGGGGATATTTTTTATATTTAGTTGGGCTTTGTATAATATCTGACTATGATATAATGCTGCCTACAATGGCTACATAACTTTGAAGTAAAAGAAAACAGACAGCATAACAAAGTTATCCATATGCTATCTTTTCTGACCTGCTTCTTTTGGAAAGTACTGTACTTAGCAATTTATTCAAGCATCCTTAGAAAATTATAGGTATATGCATGGATGTGGAGAGTGTCAGCAAGTCTCCTAAGGTATGCACAAATGCATGAGCAGTGTTGCCTCATGTTTAGCATAGAGGACTAGAAATCAGAATTCTTTAGTTCTGTTCCCAGTTCTTGTGCCAGGTCACATACAGTCCAAATCATGTTAATAGTTTCTAAAGTATATTTCCCTTAGTGATTATTAAAACATATGTGGGATGCTCCTGAGATTGCCAGGGATTTTTTTTTTTAAATACACATTTAAAGTTTGCCTGTCAACACTCTTGATTTGGCTATGAAATTCGCCTTTCCATGCAGGTGTCTCATCTTCTTTTCAGAGGGCCCGGAGATTGTGTGGATAAATATGTGCAATAGCAGTGCTTATGTAACCATTCAGGGATTTGTGTGATAATATCCGGGAATCATTATTTAGGATACACCATTACAATGAAAATAGGAAAGAATTCATGAGACAGCCACAGGATTGGGGGGAGAGGGGGAAGAAATGATGTGTTAGGTCAGTAGCTCCAGTCCTTTTTTCTGGAAGCTTTCATTGTGACAGATCAGCAAATGGCTGAATGAATGTGCCTTCCTCACCATGTCCCACTACAGTTTCCACCTTTTCTCATACTGATGGGGGCCAAGACCCAAAAGCTGGATGCTGGCTGACATGGAGTTCTGGTGATGGGAAATTCAGATCCTGCATTTTGGTTTGTACCTTTACAGAGACAGGGAGCATTTAAGACATTTGGACGCTGGCCTAGATTCCAGCTGGGGCTGAGGGTGTGCAGACTGGGTTAGGCGCAGGTTTGGGGTTGAAGCCTATTAGGCCCCTTCATGGGTGATAGGGATGGAGGGATAGGGATCCCATTTGGTCCCTGTGCTCAGATCCAGGGTAGGAAGCCATTTTTGACCATTGCACAAAGATTAGGGTTGCCAGGTGTCCGGTTTTAGACTGGCATGCCCATTCAAAAAGGGACCCTGGTGGCTCCAATCAGCACCGCTGACCGGGCGGTTAAAAGTCCGGTCAGCGGCGCAGCAGGGTGAAAGAAGGCTCCCTGCCTGCCATTGCTCCACGTGGCTCCCGGAAGCAGCAGCATGTTGCCCCTCCAGCTCCTATGCATAGTAGTAACCAAAGGGCTCTGCACGCTGCCCCTCCCCAAGCACCGGCTCTGCAGTTCCCATTGGCTGGGAACCATGGCCAATGGGAGCTGCGGGGGTGGTGTCTGTGGATGGGGCAACACGCAGAGCCACCTGACTATGCCTTCACGTAGGAGCCAGAAGGGGACATGCCGCTGCTTCCAGTAATCGCCACCTGTAGCCTGCACCCCTGACCCCCTCCCCATGCCCAACCCGCGCTACCCCAGCTCTGATCCCCCTCCCACCCTCTGAGCCCCTCAGTCCCAGCCAGGAGCATCCTTCTGAACCCCAAAACGCTCATCCTCAGCCCCACCCCAGAGCGTGCACACCCAGCTGGAGCCCTCACCCCCCTGCCCCAGACCTGATCCCCCTCCTGCCATCTGAACCCCTCAGCTCTAGACTGGAGCCCCCTCATGCATTCCATCCCCCTCATCCCCAGCCCCACCCCAGAACCCACATCCCCAGCTGGAGCCCTCACCTCCCTGCACCCCAACCCCCTCCTACACCCAAACGCCTCATCCTCAGCTCCACCCTAGAGTCCACACCCCAAGCTAGAGCCCTCACCTACCCTAGCACCCCAATACCCTGCCCCATGAAAATCAGTATTGGGTTTACCATGGTGCCAGAAGGGGCCACGGCCAGCCCAATCCCCGGCAGGAAAGCTGCCCCTGTGCCGCCCCCCGCCCCTCATTCCCACCCCTGCTCCTCCAAGCCTGGGGAGGAGGTGGAGCGGTGGGGAAGGGGCATGTGATGGGGAAGAGAGGGGGGAAGCAGGGGCAGGGGGGAAGCTGGAGCCCAGCATGTAGCATCCCCTTGGCAGAAGCTGGGGCTCCCGTTAAGCAGGCCCATCGAACCCTCACTCTGACAAGCCCCACATCTGCATCTGTACCACCCCGATGAGCCCCCCCAGACACTCTCTCCACTGAGCCCCAACCACCTGCACCCCACCACCCAAATGAACCCCACCTCCCCTGCACTGTCCTAGACCCCTCCTGCTGAGCCCAAAACACCTTCACCTGGATCCCTTGCAGAGTCCCATTGCCCCTGCACCTGAAACCCCTGCAATGAGCTTCTGTGCATCCAGATCTCCCACTGAGCCACCTGCATCCAGATTGCCCCACAGAGAACTCTCTTACCCCGACCTGGATCCCCCCACACTAAGTCCCTCTGTACTTGGATCTTGCTGCCAGCCTGAGCCTGCTCACCCACACCTGGTGCACCTGGCACAGGAGGACAGGGCCCCAGGGTGTTTCTGGGGCAGGCCTGGCCCTTGCACTGTGTCAGGGGCAGGTGTAGCCTCACTGCCAAATCCCTGTCCCAGGGTGGGTTGGGGGGAGGCTGCAGGGTAATCTCCCACCTCCATGCAACCAGTAGCCTGTGCTCCCCACTGCTATGTTGCAGCCTCCACATTTATTTATTGACAAATAAAATTTGCAGAATTTTAAAATATTGTGCACAGAATTTTTAATTTTTTGGTGCAGAGCCCCCCTCAGGAATATGGGGTGCTGTGCGGCTGTGATGGTGGGACTGTGAGGAAGGTGGTGGGCGGTGGGGGGTCTATGGGTGGGGGGTGCTAGGCGAGCGGTGTGGTGTGCAGGGTGCTGTGCAGTTGTGGTGGGAGGCCAGTGGCGGGGAGGTCTCTGGGAGGGGTGTGGGCTGGGCATAGAGCTCTGTGGTGGAAGTCTCTGTGCCAGGGGGCGCTGGGCATAAGGATGGGGCACTGGGCGGGGGAGCAGTGTGGGTGCTTGCCCGTCCTCAAGGGGAAGGGGCCTGCTGGCAGCACAGGGATGGGCAGGCCAGTGGGTGTCTGGCAGCTGCTGGTTTGTAAACAGTGCCCTCCTGCTAGGCTGCCCAGAGCAGGGCTGTTCCTGCCATGCCCTTGCCTCTTTGCCCCCCAGCCTGCCCTCCACGCTGGAGACTGACCATCCTACCCCTTGGGGGCCCACAGATATGTTTAATGCTAGGTCCACAAAAAGTTAACCCTGCCCTGATGAAAATGAGTGAGGGGCAGGGAGGGGTGAGAGCAGGTGGGGGGGGCATGGAGTGAGCAGGGGGTGGCGACTCGGAGGAGGGGCGGGGCAAGGGTGTTTGGCCTGGGGCAAGTACAAAGTTGGGAAATTCCCTAACAGAGATAGGGGATGCGGCTGCGTGTGTCCCATCTAGAGGGATCAGGCGGGCGTCCAGCTTGGCCCCACCCCACCCCAGTCCTAGGCCGCGGTCCTCCTCCTCCTCCTCCTGCAGGGCGCTGCGGAGACAGGGGCGGGGCAGCCACTGAGCGGGAGATTTGAGCGGCTCCGGGATGGTGGAAGGTCCTGGCTGCGCCCTGCACGGGGAGAGGATCCGGGCCCGGGTGCGCCGGGGCCAAGCAGTGCGGGGCGTGCGGGGCAGCGCGCTGCTGCCAGCCCGGCCTGCGGCCCTGGGCCCCGCCGCCTGCACCGGGGTGAGCAGCGGCTGTGGCGGGAGCAGCTCGGGCGGCGTGCGCCAGACGGTAACAGCTGCCCCAGAGCGGGGGGAGGGCGGCACAGCACAGCACAGCTGCTCGGCCCCCCAGGAGGGAGGCGGCAGCCACACGCCAGGTTGCAAAGGGGGCTGGTGGGGGCGACCCCCGGCTGAGCCCCGCATTGTGGGAGCAACTAAAAGGGGGAGCGACGCGATGTTTATAGACGCGGGGGGAGCTCCTGCCAATCCCTCTGGCCCCCTATGTAAATAAAGTACAGCGGGAGCGGCTGTCCCTTGCTGCGCTTGTGCATGGCTCTGGCGCTTTTCAGTGTCCTCATTGACTTCCTTGGACTCTTTCAAGGGCCGAGCCCAAGCGCTGGGCATTTTAGGACACCAAACCTTACACAAGTTTGTGAATGTTTTCATGGAATGCTGAGCCTTGTTCCAAGGTCTCAGGACGTGCTGCTCCCTGGCACTTGAGGAGAATCTATGGTGCTTATGCAAGAAAGCCTGATTTCATCCCCCAAGTGTAAATCTTCTCTATTGCTCCTCCAAACAGGCATTGTTTTAATAGCGCCCTCCATCTGTCTTTGGGCACAGAAAAGAAAAAGCATTGCAGCATTGTAATCTTTCAAGTAGGCTGATACAAAGACTAATGCTTTCGCTGCTTCCCCACTAAATACAGTCAGGGTAAAAAGAAAAGGAGTACTTGTGGCACCTTAGAGACTAACCAATTTATTTGAGCATAAGCTTTCGTGAGCTACAGCTCACTTCATTGGATGCATACCGTGGAAAATACAGAAGATGTTTTTATACACAGAGACCATGAAAAAAATGGGTATTTATCGCCTCAAAAGGTTTTCTCTCCCCCCACCCCACTCTCCTGCTGGTAATAGCTTATCTAAAGTGACAGGTTTCAGAGGAACAGCCGTGTTAGTCTGTATTCGCAAAAAGAAAAGGAGTACTTGTGGCACCTTAGAGACTAACCAATTTATTTGAGCATGAGCTTTCGTGAGCTACAGCTCACTTCATCAGACGATGAAGTGCCACAAGTACTCCTTTTCTTTTATCTAAAGTGATCACTCTCCTTATTAGTCTCTAAGGTGCCACAAGTACTCCTTTTCTTTTTGCGAATACAGACTAACATGGCTGTTACTCTGAAACCAGTCAGGGTAAAGTTTTCAAAAGTACATGTTCATTTTCAAAAGAGATTTAGGCACTTAAAGGGCCAGATTCTTAAAAGAATTTGGGTACCTGAAGATGCAGAGAGGTATCTAGTGGGGTTTTTAAAAGTGTCTGTACCGCTGATGGACCATTAAAATTATTTCAGTGGGAATTTGTACATTCCTAGGTGTTTTTTGAAAATTCCACTGGGTGCCTATCTGCATCTTTAGGTACCTAAATACTTTTCAAAATCTTGCCCTATGTGCCTAAATCCTTTAAAAATGAAGGTCAGGCTCCTAAGCCACTTAGTCACTTTTGAAAACTTTACCTTCTCTGTTTAATGCTAGGAAACCAGATTAAGTGGACTTAATTTTAAATAAATGTTGAGAAGGCATTTGTTGCAATACTGTGCTGTATCTGATATAAAGGTTTTACACCAATACAAGTGATGCAGATGACATTCCTTTTAAGCTTTGAAAGAATGCAAGAGAGCTTTACTAGATTTGTAAAAATTCTCTTATAGTTTTGGGGATGATAAAATGTGCCTGACTGATCTGAACTTCAAGCAAGATCATTAGTGTAGCTGACATACTTGCTTCTGCAAAAATCATTGCAGAGTTAACTACAGCAGAGGTTTCTGGCAGTTGTTTGAGATTTTTCACTTTTTTTTTTTAAAATCAGTGTACCATAATATATTCTTGTCATCAATATAATAAATCAGCCACAGCAAATCTGATGAATTTGAAGAGAGAGAGCAGGAGAAACATGAACCCGTGTAGGAAATAATGAAGGAAATCTTTTCAAGTCACTTTTTTGTCTAATCAAAAAGATGGCAATTGTTTTAATATCATTTGTGTTCAGGAAACCTACAAGGAAAATTGTAGAAGTTGTTGCTGACCATTGGTTGCTTTTTAATTATATAGGGTTCAGAAGTGTACAATAAAAAGCCTAGAAGGAGAACGATACGCATTAGCCCACAGAAAAGGAATTTTTACTTAGTTTTTTAAAAAACACATTAACTAGACAAATATATATATATACATACTCGTTCATTAGTCTGTTCGTTTATAAGCCGACCCCCCACGATAGTTAGGTAAAAATAGCAAAATCTGTATGACTCTTTCATAAGCTGACCCTATATTTCAGGGGTTGGCAAACTTTGGCTCCTGGCCCGTTAGGGTAAGTTACTGGTGGGTCGGGACATTATGAAGTGGTGCACTTCCCACAGTTCCCATTGGCTGGGAATGGTGAACCGCGGCCACAGGGAGCGGAGGGGCTCCATGCCTGCAGATGCTCCAGGTAAACAAAATGACAGTGTATTAGATATTAGTTTAAAATGATTAAATTTTGGTGTAGATCTGTTTATAAGCCAACCCCTGCTCTTTGATGCGTCATTTTTTACCAAAAATATTCAGCTTATGAATGAGCATATACGGTATTTAACCAAATAAAGAATGGGGTATCTGCTTTCCACGTACTCAGTATGTAATTATCTCTGCTAATTTTTACCCATTTTTGTTGCCAATATAAAACTATTCAATGGCATACAAGTTGTGGGGTGTTTGGGATCTTTTGGAGAAAACCCCCACAAGTTGTATGCTGTTGAATCTTTTTATAGAAAAAGATGTTAAAATATACATGAGCAGGTCTGGTTAATGAGATGTGAAGATTCAGTACTCCATTCCTGATTGCTGAGTTGGCTTTTTTTTGTCAGTTTCTGCCCAAGTGTGGGAAACTTGGTGCTTCCCTTATGTTCTGAGCAATGGTAAAGTCACAAAAGGATTTTTTTCATATATTTGATATGTAAGCCTACACACAGATTAATGTTCTGTACTGAGGTTCCACAGCAGTGCTCTTGCCCACAACTTTAAAAAGAATGTAGTGCAGGAGATCATGTAATCAATTAATTCTTATAACCTTCTGGTTTCAGGACTTAAATAGTATTTTCACTTTTTCAATAAATTATGCTCTCATGAGTTTAGCAAAGGGGAAAAATAGTAACAGTCATATTCTCAGCTGGTGAAATTCATCTCAGGGTGAATTTTCTCTCTGGGCAGAGGACCATCACAAGGTCTGTTCTCCACTTAGTCCTTGTGATGGTCCTCTGCTTCGTGGCCCATGCAAGGACTTAAGTGGGGCATAAAGGGCCTCTGCTTTGCGAAGATGGAAGGCCTTATCTAAACACAGAAGTTGAAATAGTTTAATTTAAATCCTTTAAAAAAACCATTTAATTGAACCTCTTTTGTGAGTGGAAACTCTTGTTCTGGTTAAACTGATTGCTAATTGACTTAAGATAAACTATAATGAACTTTGCATATCTCTAAATAAGTGTCTATACAGGGATTTGCGTAGGCTTAAATATATTGTTTTAAAAATTACACCTTGAGACTGATTCAACAGTCTCATAGGCAAAGGCTCATACATTTTCTTTTTTACTTTTCCCTTTGTCAACAGGCAAAGTGATATTGAATACAATAAACAATGGGCTATCCAACTTATTTTGATTGAATAGGTACTTTTATAATTATCGTTAGGAATACTAAGTTACAGTTATTTATTTCACAAAGCTATTTAAAAAGAAAACATAGAGTGAGAAATAACAGTCTTGGTCCTGTTAATAACTCATAATTTTGACACTTCTGTACATATCTCAAAAATAGAGAAATGATTTCAAAATAGTATGGCAAATGAATTGACTAAAAATGTCAGCATGGAATTGCTTTAACAGAATAGTTTTTTTGTTAATAAGGAGCAATTGTACCAGACTGACAAAATAGCTGGTCATCTAAGGCAGCAAAATGTAGGTCTAATTGTGTATTCTTTATACAGACTTGAAGTTTTGCCTCAGACCTGCGTCATAACTGTTCACTTGGGCTTCTGTCTGTTAGGAGTGGAAAAATGTTAATTTTCTCATAGTAGCACTGGCTTTAGAGATTTTGCAACAATGATGATAGAAGACCTGGATACTTGTGAATTACAAATGTGGCTTTGAAACTAGTCTGATTATGGTAATGCTTGATCCATACACCAAAACATAAACTCTGGAATGCTGTCACTAAAAAGTAGTTCCCTGGGCCAAATTAATTATTAGTGTAAGTACTTATGACTCCATTTGAATAAATGGAGTAACACTGTGTGAGTAGTTTCAGAGTAACAGCCATGTTAATTTTTTACTCAGATCTTTAAAATGATCCATTCCCTTCATTCCTTCACCAGTGTCCCCTTCCCAACACCCTTTTTTCCTAGCTGTTGAAAACCTGATCTTTGAAAAGAAACGTACTCCTGTGGGGCTATATGCAGATTTTTGCTGGACAACAAGAGGTCTCATCTAGTACACAGAACATATATCAGCACTGTCAGTGGCTCCAGTCAGAGGCATTTTGAAAAGGTTTTTGCATTTAAAATACCAAAAAATGGTATCACACACTTTCTCCAACAAAATACCCTTGTCAGAACTCCTGAATGGCATTGATCTGGCAGGACACTCTGTAAGTGTCTGTTAGAGATTTAAGGTGACATCTGTCAAATTATGTTTTTATACAAATAATGAATTACTTATCTTTTTTTCTAGGATAATATTTTCTGGAAACCAACAGGTCAGAGTAAAATGGGCCAGTGTTTGATGGCCTTGGTTACACTGAATAGCAGCTTACTTTGCAAGTAGTTCCATTGATTTCAGTTGGATGGTTGGAGGAATAAGGTTGTACTCAGTATGATTAAGGGTGGCAGATTTTGTCTGTACAGTTGGGTGTTAACTGATGACTGCAAAATTTTGATATTGACTTTAGGACTGTTTCTTTCCTAAACATGTTTTGTGTGTGTGTGTGTATGTGTGAATTTATTTTCAGAATGCTGTGACTGGGAATAAAACCTCCTGTCAGGATTTCCTGAGATTGCTGAAAGGATGTGTGTACACTGGTGTAGAAACTCTGGGGAAGGAGCTTTTTATGTATTTTGGACAGAAAGCATTGAGGTAAGACAAATTACAGTATTCCCTCTGTATGTATTCTCTAACCATGTACATTTTCAGGGTTTTTTTTCTCAGTACTATCATTTTCAATTATGTGAAAGTTAATTAGTATTGTAGAGAAACTTCTCTACGTAGTTTGTATCTAGGTGCTGGATATACTAGACAGTGTGATTCTGCTTTTCCGTCGTGAAAGGAGGTGATAATGATAACATCACAACCTACTGCTTTATTCTCCTGAAAGCAGAGGGTAAGTGCCACTTTATTTCATGAATTGTGTTAGGTATTTCTTAAATAAAATATTCTTAATGAAACTGCAGTTTGTTGTAGGCAGAGCTGGTAGCAGTGTCTAGAGTTACAGCTGCCTAACACTTTCATTATTAGCTCCATTTTCAGTTGCTTATAACGCCCAAACTTTAACTGTTTGGGCTGCAATTGTGCATTCTAGGTGTCTGTCTCAGGCTGATGTTTTTCTGGAAAGTTTAAGTGAAAACAATTCAGTCATTTCTGAGAATGAGGTTAGGGAGAAATAGGTAGCTTCACTAATGTTAAAGACACTTTTTTAAAGAGCTCTAACATTTCCTTGTTGTGGTGTTAGGACTTGAACTTTGGCAGGGGAGGTCTTGTGGTCAGAAAAGTGTCTTGCTGTTCTCATAAAAATCCATCCTGATTTGGCTGAGTTATACTGCTCTAAAAAAATGACCATTTGTAGACCCTCAGTTGAGCTTGTTAGAGGCTTGCTGATAAAATCTTAGAACATTCCATGTGCAGTGCTGATGCTCTGCCGCACAGAGCTCTCTTCAAGCCAATTGTACTGAGCAGGCCCCACGCCTTCTACATGGTAGGCTCAGAGCTAGAACTGTGGATGGGAACAGGCATTCAATAACAATGCCACTGTTCAGTCTAGGGGAAATTACTAGAAGGAGATCATTAGCTCTAGGCTCAGCTCTTCCGCTGACTGGAATGTTTAATTCTGTGCACTTCACAACCCTTATTACTGAGCCAGACCTCAGGCAGGCAAGTATTGTTTCCTAATTTTATAAATGAAGGAACTGAGGTTGTACAAGGTCACTTCTGGCAGTGCTAGGAATAGAACCCAGGGCTCATCCACTTAGCCATACTTTCTTTAAGAATGAATGCATCAAATATATGTGCCTGCCTGTGATATCTAAGCATTAGACCATACTCCCTGCCAGCCACAAGACTAGAATTAGGATTTCCGATTCATAAGAAAATAAGAACGACCATATTGCTTCATCTACCCAATATCCTGTCTTCCAGCAGTGGCCAATGCCAGGTGCCTCAGAGGGAATGAACAGAACAGGTAATCATCAAGTGATCCATTCCCTGTCACCCATTCCCAGCTTCTGGCAAACAGAGGCTCGAGACGCCATCCCTGCCTATCCTGGCTATTAGCCATTGATGGTTGGACCTATCCTCCATGAACTTACCTAGTTTTCTTTTTTTTAACCCTATTATAGTCTTGGCCTTTACAACATCCTCTGGCAAGGTGTTCCACAGGTTGACTGCGTTGTGTGAAGAAATACTTCCTTTTGTTTGTTTTAAACCTGCTGCCTATTAATATCATTTCTCCACACCAGTCATGATTTGATTGATCTCTATCATATCTCTCCTTCGTCATTTCTTTTCTAAGCTGAAAAGTCCCAGTTTTATTAATCTCTCCTTGTACGGAAGCCATTCCATACCCCTAATCATTTTTGTTGCCCTTTTCTGAACCTTTTCCAATTCCAGTATATCTTTTTTGAGATGGGGCGACCACATCTGCATACAGTATTCAAGATGTGGGCATACCATGGATTTATGTAGAGGCAATATGATATTTTCTGTTTTATTATCCATCTCTTTCTTAATGATTACCAACATTCTGTTCGCTTTTTGAACTGCTATGCACATTGAGTGGATGCTTTCAAAGAACTATCCCCAATGACTCCAATATCTATTTCTTGAGAGTTGTAACAGCTAATTTAGTCCCCATCAATTTATATGTATAGTTGGGATTATGTTTTCCAATGTGCATTACTTTGCATTTATCAACATTGAATTTCTTCTGCCATTTTGTTGCCCAGTCATCCAGTTTTGTGAGATCCTTTTGTAGCTCTTTGCAGTCTGCTTGGGACTTAACTATCTTGAGTAGTTTTGTATCATGTGCAAATTTTGCCACCTCACTGTTTACCCCTTTTTCCAGATAATCTATGAATATGTTGAATAGGACTGGTCCCAGTACAGACCCCTGGGAGACACCACTATTTACCTCTCTCCATCCTGAAAACTGACCATTTATTCCTATTCTCTGTTCCCTATGTTTAACCAGTTACCAGTCCATGAGAGGACCTTTGCTTTTATTCCATGACAGCTTAGCTTGCTTAAGAGTCTTTGGTGAGAGACCTTGTCAAAGGCTTTCTGATAATCTAAGTACGCTATATCCAATGGACATTGTCCACATGCTTGTTGACTCCCTCAAAGAATTCTAGTAGATTGGTGAGGCATGATTTCCTTTTACAAAAACCATGTTGACTCTTCCCCAACAAATTATGTTCATGTATGTATCTGACAATTTTGTTCTTTACTATAGTTTCAACTAGTTTGCGCGGTACTGAAGGCAGGCTTACCAGCCTGTAATTGCTGGGATCACCTCTGGAGCCCTTTTTAAAAATTGCTGTTACATTAGCTATCCAACACTTCTAGTCATTGGCAAAGCATGTCACATTCCCTTCTAGTGGCTGGCCCACATACAAGGGAACAGCATACTGTTGCTCCAACTTCTCTTTTAGCTCAAGTGGTTGAGTTCTGTGCTGTGAATCTAAAGGTCTTGGGTTCCACCCATACTGATCACTGATAGAATTTCTGTTGATTCAGTTTGCTTTAAAAAAAAAAAAATCACACACCTAGAAAATGACATACAAAAACATTAAAAGAATATTAAGGTGGTAGAGTAAAGCACTCAAAAGTTAGGAAATAAATGACAGAATTGTGATTGTCCATATAAACTGGACAGTGATGAGGCAGAGGGTTGTAAGAAGAGAGAGAATATTTTCTTGTGGCAAAGTCTGAGAGTTGGCAGAGCTGGGTTCTAGTCCTTGCTTTGCTCCAGACTTTCTATTTGATGTTAGGCAAGACTGGATGATATTACACATGCACAAGGAGGTCAAATCAAGCTCTCATAATCAATATTAATTCTGGTACTTCTTAAATGATAAGTGTTTGTTTGGCTTTGCATGCTTAACATTCATTTTGTGCGTAATAAACAAATACACTATGGTATTCCCACGGGATGGTAACCAAAATGAGCCCACCCAATTTTTAAAAAAAAGTCTTCCACAGACTTCACATCACAAAAGTAAGACTTCTAAAATTGGTAACACTTACATGACATTTGTTGTAATTTTCTAAACTTTAATGGTTTGCTCATAATCAATATACTAAAGAGTCTAAAAATACTTTATGTAGGTAACTCCCAATGATTTCCATTCAAATAGTGGCTACTCAGCACCTCTGAAAATTGGGCTCATACTGTCTAAGGATCTAATTATAGTTCTCCCTGTTTCCAGTGTGGCATGCAATATGTGTATTGCAAATGTCTACTGCAATGCACGTGAAATGTGTCAAACCTAAACTAAAACGTTTGGGGTGACTCTTGAAAAACAAGCATAAAACCTAGTTTATATGGTCTGTAGTGTAATATAAACAACTACAGTTCTCAGATATTTAACATGAATATGAAACATGCATTAACTAAAATTTTCTTTATCAACAATACCATTTTGCAAAAGTTATTTTCATTGTATGTCCATTTAAAAAAAGAGAGAGTATGTGCCCCCATTGTAGTATAAGAATACAATCCTATGGCACTGCAGGATTGTAAGTAATCTTAATTTTTAAACTACCTTTTAAAATTAGTTACTGAAAGTATGTGATCAAAGCTTTAAGTATAACAACAATTAAAATTATGTAGATGCTTCATTTAACCCTATCTGTTACTTTTGAATCCTGGCCTGAAAATTAAAGGATGTCTAACACTGGAAACTGATGTCCCTTGTTGTTGTTTTTTTTAAAATGTTGGTCCACTCAATCACATCACTAACTGCTCTGGACTGCCTTTATAAATTGCACCTATGAAATTCATCCTGAAGCTAGCGGCCAGACATTCTTTATTACCATGAAAAAATGACCTTAAAATTGTTCTCTTAAAGCTGGACTATGTACAGCTCTAACACAAGTGAGTGTGCAAGGGAGGAGCTGGGAAGGGCCCAAGGAAACACTTGCTCTTTGGCCAAGAGCCAAACACTGTAGATTTCTGTCTCCCTCACTTCAGGGAAAAGGAAGATCTGGCCATGAAATCCTCTATGCCGATTGAATGACTTATAGATGAACAAGGTACATCATGGATAACAATTAGCACATGAGGGAAATTCATGTTTTGTTGAATTTGTGATCCACCTATTACTGATAAATGGGACAGTACAATCCACTTCCTGATTGATGAACAATAATGTAGGGAATAAGTCTTTTGAGGAATTTCTTTAGTCTGAGAACAAGCATCCAACAGTAGTAGTAATAGAACAGGTGCAGTGAATTCACCAAAGGCCACAGTGTAAGTAGAATTTGAACTTATCTCCTACGTTTTCCCTGATTTTGTTTTTCCTCTCAGTTGATTTTTGAGGATTACCATTAGATATTTTTGTGTTTATGGTAGTGTCTTTTAAAAGTAAGAAATAAATTAATCAGTTAAAATCTGAAGAGGTGAGTGGTGGGGAATCTTGTAAATTAGCACAGTTTGTAGATGCATTTTACCAGTGACTAGAGACTAATTTGCTCTACAGTAAAGAAAATGGCAGTTAGGGTTGTGAGAGATACTATACAAAAGATGTTCCAACAATCTGTTTTCTTCAGAATAAGCCTTGGACCTCACCTGAATAAGTCCATCTGGAAATCTTCAAGAACCTATAAAAATACAGATATTTTTATTTTCTTTAGAAAAGGCAAAACCTAGACACACTCCCATATGGAAAGGATTCTGATTTGTAGAGCCCAAATACAATGCCATTAAAAGCAGTGGAAAGATTCCCATTGATTTCATTGGGAGTTAGATCCAGGACTTTAATGCACCCTTCTAATAAAATTCTGTTACCAGTTTTTTTCTTGTGCCTATAACATAGTTTGTGCTGTTACTGAGCAACTATTTTCTAGGAACTAATGAGAGCTTTGCAATTAGAAAACAAACAAACAAAACCTCCAAGAACTTAAGTCTTGCACACAACTGAACAGTTACAACAGCTCAGTTTTTTCTATTAAAAAATATTGAGCTTTTTAACACTAGCTGTCATCAGACAGCAGAACCAAGATTTCAATTAAGGTAGGTCCATCCTACTTTCTCCTTAATTAAAATGACAAAAATGCTATTTTTCATGGTTTCAGCACATCAGGGATAATGAGGCACACCGGGGTGGAATTTGTAAAGTTCTTAAGGCTTTTAATAGAAAAGAAATTTATGCATAGAAGTGATTGTGAAATATTTTATTACTGTAGCTATAACTGAGAAGTAGTTATGACAGCTAATCGTTATGACAGTAGTGTACCTTTAAACAGGGCCTCCATAAGTGAGACACTTAATTACAAACATGCACATTATTTTTTTTCTTATCAAGAACTTTTGGGAAATGTTAAATGCATTTCTGATTGATAACACGACACAGTTTAAAGCCTACATTTAAAAAAATCCCCAAAACTGCTTAATCTTGTGTAATGCTATAATATCTCCCCGGAGAATTAGAAGCATATAGCAGTAACAACTACTTCCAAAATAGTTATAGTTATTTATTAACTTAACTCAACTCAACTGAACGGTAAGAAAAAGCTTCTGAAAGGCACAATATACTTCTTGAGAATCAGTTTACAATACTGCTCTTCTTTTGGATTTGTAATCAATTACTAACAACGTAGTTTGTCAATATTTATTAATTGATACACTGTCACCTTTAAGTTAACTGTAAATATTTTTTTAAAACCATCCTTCCAGTACTTATGGAAAAATAAGAGTAAACAGATGTGTGGCATTACAGGGGACGGATTAAAAACAAATAGATGTTTGAGATGTTGTCTTTGTTCCAGGCCTCTCCTTCTCTTCCCCCCCCTCCCCCCCCCCACCCCCACCCCGGTCTGTTGTTCACCTCCTTTTAAACCACAAAATAATTAACCTTCCTCTGGGAAAAAAAAAGTTGTTTTTAAAGGAGAAGCTTAGAAATAAGACTTTCCTTTTGAGGTCATGGGGTATATACGATATGTTTGGATTAACTTGTGAAGGAATACTTTAATCAGGGCTGCAAATCAGATTTACTTGTCCTTTGCTCAATACACTGATACCAAGTAGAATATTGCATCAAATTCAAGATCTCTGTCCTCATTTTAAAAGCATTGAATGATCTGCACTTGTGGTACCTAAAAGATACTAAACTCCACTCCTTTGGCATGTTGCCTCAAGAGTAAAACTCATCAGTGAAGGAGGCAGATCTTTCTGTGTGCTGGCTTAAGACTGGAATTTCTGCAGTGTCTAACAACCACCTCAAACGTCTTCACTTCATACTTTTTGTGCCTTCAGTCTTCAACCTCACCTTAACTAATAAACACCAGCACTTATTTTTAAATAATAATTTTTAAGAATTTTAAAAACCTAAACAATCTTTGCCCTGGCGAGAGGTGGGAAAAAGAGAGAACCACCTACACACAGGACAGATGCTAGTCATATTGTTTTGAGAACAACTGGAAGGTGCTCGATATGGTGAAAGTTGTGGTAGTGAAATAGCTGGCAATTTTGTCTTCTATATTGGATCATTATACTTGGCAGAAGAAGAGCTGATAGAATATTCTTTGAGAAGAACACTGTTCTTGTTTTAGTGAGTCTTAATTTTAAAATGAGTCAGCAAGAAAGAAAACAAGTGTATTTTTTTCCCATTGTCCCTGGAGGAGCCTGCCAGGGGCTGTAAGAGTGCAGAAGTACAGGTGAAGAAACTCCCAGGATGCTGCACTGTATTATGGTTGCACAAACGTGTTTCAAATTTAAATCATTAACTGAATGATTGGTTATATAAAGATCTAATAAAGTCACTATATACTTGAGTGCTTCTTAGTTGCTAGTAAACACAGTCCTTTGTGGGAGGAAAGAGAGACCATGTAAACAAGCACTTCATGTCACCCTATTGCTGCTAATGATCAGAATTATTTTATATACTTAGTGAATTTAATTGCCAAGCTAGAAAATAGACTACTAACATGCCTGAGAGTGTTGTTAAGATGCAGATTTTTTTTTTTCAGAAATGTGTTTGTCGCCTAGGGTTCACTTTGGCATGAACGGTTCCATGTGTATTAATCCAACTGCAAGCAAAGACCGAAATGGAGCACCACCAATTCTGGAAATACAGCTTACTGATGATATGGTTTGTTTCTTTGACGCAACAGTAGAGCTTAGGTAAAGTAAAAATTAAAGCATTTCTTCAGTGTTCAATCTGTGTTCTTTTTATAAAAATAAGGTTTTCACCATATAGTTGAGAAAAGATTATTTTGCTTTTATATAGTGGTTTTCATCTGAGAATTTCAAAGCACTTCATAAAAATTAATTAAATATGCCTCCTAGCTTTAAGGAAGGTAAGTATACCTCATTAAAGCTCCCAATGTCCTTACTGGGTATGTAAGTAATTTTAATTACTTTGTGAATACATAACTGAGGTACAGAAAGTGACTTGCTTAAAGCCATCTAGGGAGTCAACAGCAGATTGGGATTCAAACCCATGACTCCTGATTCTGCTCCCTGCTCTAACAACTGAATGTGCCACCTGTATTTTGCCCTTTAAACTCTCGCTTCTGCAATCAGATTTAGACAGGTGGACTCTTGCTTCTGCATGGATCTGATTGCAAGGTGAGGGTCTGGGCCTTTAATGGTTACTGTATATCTCCTATACTTAGAAGTACATGGTATGTTTTATCTTGTGCTTCAATATTTCAGAATCTATCTATCCCAAAAAAATGTAGGCAGGTATTTTTTAGCAGTGCTTGTGACACATGTTTTGGGGCATATTCCCAGCCATTGGCGCTGTTCTTCTCACCTGTGTGGAAGCTGTAGAGGAATAGCATCTTTGTGAGCTTTTTCTGTAAAGCACTGTGAAGCTTTCAGATGAAAGGCGCTGTATAAATTCAAGGTGATTTTAATATATGTATTTTCTATTCTAGAATAGGCCTTAAATATAAATATGTGTAAATTTGGGCTTTCTTGCATCTATTACTAAGTTTGTGGGGGTTTTTCCTTTAATTTATGGATAAACTTTATTTTAACATGTAAATGTTTATCACAATAAGGTGCTGGTCTCCTTCTGAGCATTCACAGTGTAATGTGGTGTTGATATCTTAATCCAATAGCTTTCACTTCTGGACACTGAATTCTTTTATTGTTTTATTTATTAATTCTATTCAGTATCAGCTGCCCTCTTTGTAAGTAAAACTTTAAAAAGGTATTTTTATTTTTATTTTTTTACACTTTGGCTAGAATGAAAAACAAAAATCCTGTCTCAGAACATCAGGAATATTTGCATTTGGAATGACACACACAGTTTTTAAATGGTGCCATACAGATATGTTTGTTCATAAGAATGGTGGGCATTCAAATCTGATTTAGGTCATGAATGAAATGAATCTGATGGTTCCTCTATATCCCAAAACTGTTTTGGAGAACCTGTTCATGAAACAAATTGCTCTTCAACAAACTGTGTTTTGTGCTGGAGCTGCATGTTTCCATGAGAGATTTGGGGCAAATTTCCCTAATGCAGATATCTAATCTATCATTCATATTTCTCCCCTGTCACCACAGTATCTGAGCATAGAAACTCAGTCTTTAATTTATTTATCCTCACAACACCCTGTGATGTGGGGCAGCACTAGTATCCCTGTTCTACAAGGGGGGAACTCAGACATCCAGAAAATAAGGGCTAGACTCACAAAGGGAGTTGAGCATTGTGACGCTGAGTGTTGCAGTGCCTAACTTTTAGGTGCCTAGCAAATCACAGGAATAACACTGCCATTCACAAAGCCTGAGTTAATTGCTTGGGCTCTTTATACAATGAACAGGGAGAGATAGGCATCTTGGACTGCCATTGACAAAAAACAGCACTCTAAACGACTTCCTGCCTAAGCTAGTGAATGGGAGATGCCAGTGACATGGGTGTGTCCGAAGTTTCGCCCTTCTCACAGAGACACTGCTCTTCTCTAGATTGTATTTAGGTGCCTATCTCTGCTTGTGATTCTCAGTTATGAAACCTCTTCTAGAGTTAGGTGCCTAAGACATTTCCTGCAAGAAGCTGGGGGAGGAAGAGCTCCCTCATAACCAGAGGTTAAGGTACTCACCTGGGATGTGGGCGATCCTCAGTTCAAGTCTCCCCTGTGCCTAATGAGAAGACGGGATTTGAACAGGGATCTGCCACTCTCAGAGGAGTGTCCTAAACACTTAGCTGTAGGATATTCTGATGTGTGTCTCCCTCAGTCTTGCCTGGAGGTGCTGTTCCACTTGTAAATAAATAAATATTAATTGGGCCAGAGAGAGAATGAGAATGACTCTGTTGCCTGGTGCTTAGGACACTCACCTAGGAGTGAGAGAGACAGGGTCCAGTCCTCTTACTCCAGTGGCTCTTTCTTTTATGATTTATCCACAATGGAACAGCTTCACTGGGAAAGACTGAGGGAGCCCTATCTCAGAATATCCCATGCACAATGCCCCTGAGAGGTGGCAGATCCCTGTTCCAATCCTCTTCAGGCAGAGGAGGGACTTGAACTGGTGTCTCCCACAACCCAGTGGTGAGTCAGTTAGGTGAGCACTCTAATCCCTGGGCTAAAAGTTATGAGAGAGCACCTCCTCTTTTTCTTCTCTCCACCCCCTGCCCCCTGTGTTTTGTGAGGAGTTAGGTGGCCTCTGAACATGCCTACTGGATCGGGGCCCACATGTCAGTTAGGTAGATGAACAACTGTCTTCCCCTGGTTTGTGAATCATTTGGGGTTCAGGCAGGAGATAGGTGCCAGGATGCTTAGAGGCAGCAGTACATATGCTCAGAGGCAAAAGCTTAGGCACCTAGGGAACTTTTTACTGTAAATGCTTAGGTACAGAGCGAGTTCAGGCTTCCCCAGGATTAGGCTGTGACTGAGAGAGAGTATCTTTCTGAATCTTGCTTAAAGGGTTTTGCCACACAGGAAGTTTGTGGTATAGAAAGGGATTGAAACCAAGTCCCAGGCTTGTGCCCTACCCACTGGACCATCCTCCCCTATAGTTAGTTACAACTGAGAGTCTCTGCTTAGGAAATGCATTTAACACTGTAAATGCTCGGCACGGACTGATAATTATTCTTAGAGCTGACTTGAACAAGGATGGGATGCTTGCCTATGCACATGGCCTGGCACTAGTGTATTCTATGTATGTGTTATTAAACCACCATATTTTTGAAAAAGGGTAAGATTTCTGTGTTTTTCTATGCATGTCACGAGTATCTGCGTGGCTTTTTGATCTCTGTGTAATGTGCTAGGGCACTCATAAATACTACACATTGTGTAAGTACTGTCTAGTTACAATGAAAGATAGATTATTTTGTCTTGTCTTGCAGGAATGCTGCTGAAAGTGAACAGAAAGTAAGAATGATGGAAGACTTAGATGTATGCTCTCCAAAATTTAGTTTCTTAAGAGCAGAAAGTGAGATTAAGCAGCAGAAAGGTCGCATGTTATGTGATGTGTTGTTGGATCAGGCAGTGTTACCTGGAGTGGGAAATATCATAAAAAATGAAGCACTCTTTGACAGTGGTCTCCATCCAGCTGTTAAAGTAGGTGAAATATTTTCATGGATTCCCTTCTGTACCAATTGCAAGCAGCTATTAAGACCATAAACATGTATCTACAAGATATTTTGGTCTAGTTTAGATTTTTGTAGGGAGGAGCTTGTAAGGTCTTAACAATCTTCTACACCCTCCATTTCCCCTAATTAATGCCACCCTGGATTCCAGTGATCTCCCAGACTCTACTGTCATGCTTGACCATCCTGCCCTAGGAGGGTTAGTGTGGCACTCTCTGGAGCCTGTCAACACTGCTCATGGGTTAGATGGGAGAATTGCTGCAGCAGACATGCTATCTCTTTAACTCACATCCCTTCTTGACCAGAAATTAATTTAATTTTCAAACTTTGACCTGCTGTCTTGAATCATGTTGTGCTACCATGAAATTGCCATGCCAGTCCATTATAAAATAGATTGTTCTCATTTTGCTTGATAAATTCAAACACAAAAATCTCTGTGGACTCTAGATAGTTTAAATTACAACATTTTCTTCATCATATTCAGTTACTTTAGTCCCTCAGACTCTGCTCTCAAGCTTTTCCCATGCAGTGCATTCACCATACCTCATGAGACTCTATATGATTTGAGGCTCCAGACCTTCCTCAGATTGTGTAGGCCTTGTCTTTCATGACAGGTATGAATAAATATCCTCAAAACAATCTAAGACCACCTGGATTCTTAGCTAAAACAAGGTTGATCAGAGTGTTTGAGAGAAAATCGTGATAACTCAGTGGAATGAAAACATATCTAGCCTTAGACTGTATGAAATTTAAAAGGTGAGTTACAAATTTAGGCCTTGATCCTACAAAATGAACTCCTGAAGCTAGTGAGGGGATCTCTCGTTCTCTTCGCAGGACTTGGGCCTTTTTGGTTAAAGACTTAAGTATTCCTGTAGGAATGGGCTTTAGGCCTTGTCCTCACTGTGAAACATTACCCCAAAATTCCCACTGGTTCTGTCACTGGCTCATCTCAACCAAGGTTAAAACCAGTGGGAACAAGTCTCCAGAAGTTGGAATCAATTTTACCACTGTTTCAGTTAGAGCAAATTTAACTAAAATGGTGGTTAAAAACTGTTTAGCTACCAGAGCCTTGTCTACACTCCAGTTCCTGTTGGTTTTAACACTGGTTCAACTGAACTGGTGGGGGGAATCTTTTCATATGCTTCCCCAGTGTAGACACAGTTCTAGAGTTCAGGTATTCCTGTCCATTTCTCAGGTACTTTTGTTCACTCCATTGTTAGTTTTGCTCAGGGTTTGAGCCTTGGTGCCCCACGCAGCTTCCACATGATAACTCTGTTCACCAGCTAATGACAGTCACATTCAGAATTGGAAATCCTTTGCCCCTCTCTTCACTTGCTCCCTATGGGTACATCTATACAGGGATAAAAAACCTGTGGCATGGCCATGGCTGGCCTGGATCAGCTGACCGAGGCTAGCGGGGCTCCAGCTCCAGGGCTGAAAAATCGCTATGTAGACTGTCTGGCTTGGGCTGGAGCCTGAGTTCTGAGACCCTTCACGCTCACAAGGTCCAGTTCAAGCCAGACAGTCTACATAGCGATTTTTCAGCCCTGGAGCCGGAGCCCCGCTAGCCTCAGTCAGCTGACCCAGGCCTCCCATGTGTGGGTGTTGTTTTTTGTTTTTTTTTTTTAAATCTCTCTGTAGTCCCACCCTAAGTTACAGGGGAAACAGAAGTGCTGTGGGGTGTGTCCTGGGAGTTAATAAATCCGGGCTCTGGGGGAGAAGTGCATTTCAAAGTTCAGCGACCCATAACAGAAAATGTGTGGCTCTAGGCACTCTCCTGATTAAACTGAGGAGCCTTTAACTCAAGTGTGTCCGTAGAGATGTGCACTGTTGTTGTAGCTGCGTTGGTCCTGGGATATTAGAGAGACAAACTGGGTGAGATAATATCTTTTATGGGACCAACTTCTGTTGGTGAGAGAAAATTTTCAAGCTTACACAGAGCTCTTCTTCAGGTCTGGGAAATGTACTCCGTGTCACAGCGGAGTACAAGGTAAACAGATTGTTTAGCATGAGTAGTTAACATGCAGTTCAAGGCACCTTTCAAAGTGAAGGGCCTGATTACACTTCTCCTAGCCATAGAAGGGGGGGGGGGGAAAGCTTATGGGGGAGGGGGAAGGTTTAAATGGATTACAGATTGTTGTAATAAGCCATAAATCCAGTGTCTCGATTCAGTCCATGATTTTTAGTATCTAGCAAGTTATGAATTTAAGGTGCCAGGCTTGTCTTTTGAAGTTGTCTTGCGGGATTCCTTTGAGGATGAGGACCGAGAGGACATACGTAGAGTAATCGCCTTGTCAAAAGTGTTCACCCACAGGTGATGCGATGTTTTTGTCTTTTATCATTTTTCTGTGTGAGTTCATCTGAGAGCATAGTGATTGTCTCACCACATAGTTGTTGTTGGTGTTATTGGTGGCATTTAGTGTACTGGATAAGGTATACCACATGTAGTGATAGGCACAAGTAGCACCCATGGATCTTGAAGTGTGTGTTCTGTGGGTGCTGATCATCATAGCAGTGGAGATAGATCTACAGGTTTTGCATCTGTTGTTCTGGCAGCATCTGGTGCCACTTTGGTTGGTGTGTCCTGGTCTGTAGGGAGCTTGCTTCTAATTAGGAGGCTGGAGAGATTGGGGGGTTGTTTGAAGGCCAGAAGTGGGAGTTCAGAAAATATTTCTTTGAAAATGGGGTCCCCATCAAGTATGGCTTGTAATTGTTTGATGATACCCCATAGGGGTTCTAGTGTGGGGTGGTAGGTGATAACTAAGGCTACGATTTAGTCACAGGTATTTTTAGTAAAAGCCATGGACAGGTCATGGGCAATAAACAAAAATTCATGGCTGTGACATATACATGACTTTAGTACAAATACCCGACTAAATCTTGGGGGCTGCTGCTGCGGTGGGGGAAGGGGGGCGTGCATTGGGGGGCTGCTGCTGCGGGGGGGCGTGCATTGGGGGGCCGCTGCTGTGGTCTGCCTGCTGCTGGGGGGGGCCGGGGCCAGTGGCTGCTCTGGCCGCCCCGGGGACTGCTGCCCACCCGAGCAGTGTCCAGTGTGGCTGGCTGTGGGGCCACTCCAACAGCAGCCGGTGTGGCTGTTCCCAGGGCCACCTGAACAGCTGGCCGTAGAGCCAGCTGCTTGGGCAGCCCTGGGGTCAGCCACACTGGCTGCTGCAGAAGTCATGGAGGTCACCAAAAGTCACAGAATCCGTGATTTCCACGACCTCTGTGACAGACCCGGAGCCCTAGTGATAACTAGAGGTATGCAGTTGGAAGGGGTTTTATTTCCATATTGAAGCAGGTGGCGGAGATGTCACACATGAGAATTAAATTCTCTAATACAGGATTCTAAATCACTGAGGTGTTGGTGTTAACCTATAAACTCCAGCAAGAAACCAAGAGGCAGCAAGTGCAGATTACTACATGAAACTGAAACCCATACTGGAGACCATTAGGTCAACACTGAAGTAAAACACTGACAATTTTGTAAAGTAAAACACTGACAATAGCTGTTTTGGGGGCAGCAGCACAAAGTCAGACACTGTAGAATAGTAAATAAGCATATTTGTGTATGTAAATATACAGCAGAGGAGGCAAAAAAGTATGAGAATATATGAGACCAAGTAGCTGTGTAATACCATGTTTGTTGGGGGTATCCATAGAGACGCTCTCTAATTATAAATCTCTTTACTGTAGTTGCTCCAGTGTATTATAGTTGTATAAATCTATTTTTTTTTAAACATTTTTGCCTTTTTCACAGGCTTGTCAATTGACAGATGAACAGACACATCACTTGGTGAAAATGACCCTTGATTTTACTCTTCTCTTTTATAAGGTGAGGGCGATAAGTTCTAAGAGAGAAAATGCACTGAAACTTTGCACCAAAATGTGTAAGCTGTATGTAGCCATCTAGTGGAAACAGTAAAAAGATGCAATAAGTCATCATGCTGGAAGTGGGAAGGACTTTTTGGTTCAGCCACTATTAACTGTTTGAGAAAAAGCAAGCAAATAATGTGAGATATTTGAGAGTAATTGGATCCTCACTGCTTTGTTCATAAAGTTTGAAATAAGATGTATGGTGTTATTTAAATACAAAGAGTAGATTTAACCTAGCTTTTTAGATTTTAACTTACATTTTGTAGAAATTCACCAAGGCAGTCTTCTCATTCACCCAGGGATGAGTGGGGCTTTAAAACCCTGAATCCATTGAAACCAGCAAGAGAGAGGTAGTCTTGTGGTTAAGACACAGAACTGGGAGCTAGGAGATGTGGATTCTGTTCCTAGCTGTGCCAGTGATTTTTTGCATGACATTGGCCAAGTAGCTTACCCTTTCTGTAGCTTGGTTTCTCAATCTTTAAAATGGGTGTAATATTCTGCATTTATACAGCATTTGCTGTTGAAGGACCTCAAAGAGCTTTTAAAGAATGAAGTAAGCCCCTAAATCCTCTCTAAGATAGCTCCTGAGCTAACCCATTTTGCAGTGTTATGAGTAAGAGTAGTAACATTTTATCATTGTTTCTAAAATGGTAAATACTGTGGTGTATACAAATTCCAGTTAAACTTTACATGATGCAAATATTTTGGGTCTTGTTTTGTGAACACAAACATTATTGGGCATTCTTAAAACCATACTGAAATAGGAAGAAATGCAAGTATTTAAACAAATGTTACAAATTACAGAAAGAACTGGCTGGTAATGAGAACATAACTCTAAATGCGGAACAGAAATCCAAGAAGAATCGAATTATGAATATTTGAATGAAGTGGTATTCATATTTGAATCTGATGCAAAGACAATCGAAGAGTATTATCTGTGTAATTTTTTTAGCTGCAAAGTTGTCAGTTCGTGTGTGTGCGCTCTCTCTCTTTATATTGGAAGATACAGAAGTCTTGCATTGGATCAAATCTCTTTCTAATCGCATTATAAAAATGTTCTATTTCAGTGCCGCAAAACAGGATCAGCCCTCTACAAACATTACAAGGTGTACAAACGCCCTAACTGTGGTCAGTGCAGTGGAAAGATCACGGTTTGTCGTTTAGGAGAGAATAACAGGATGACATACTTCTGTCCTCAGTGTCAAAAGGATAAACCTCAGCTTGTTGATGTTAGGTATGGCATTTGCTTTATAACTCTTTAAAGCGTGGCCCTACTCTGAAAAGTGCTGAATAGAACTGCTCCCTGTGTGTATTCAAAACTCTGTATGCTGCCTTTACTGACAAAAAGGGGCTTTTACTGTTTTTTTTTTTTTCTTGTGAGCACAGCAGCACTAGTTCAGCTAAGAGAGTGAGCTAAATTCAATTCCTATTTGTACATCAGCATAGTTGTTGACTAAATTCCACACCTTTTCAATTATTGGCTAAATTCCGATTCGAAATACCTTATTCAAACCTTTTTAAATTATTTGAACCATCAATTGTTAGCCTACATAATGTGAATTTACATAACTATGTGAACATATAAGTTATCGTTGCTCTCGCTCTAGTTGTCAGTCAATCATCTTTTACTCATTTGTGTCATCTTATCTTAAATTAGATCCAGATCCTACAAATACATAAGCAGGTGCTTAACTTTATACCTATAAGTCCTGTTGATCCCGCTGGGGTTACTTGTGTAAAGCTAAGCACTTCTGTAAGTCTTTGTCGATCAGGATCTTAGATCATAAAATCTTCAGGACAGGGACCATGCCTTTCTATATACAGTGCCTAGTACGCTGGGGCCCTGGTCCTGACTGAGTCCTTTGGACACTACCACAGCATAAATAACTAATAATCCATTGAAGGCAATGGGACTTCCCAAATGTCACTAAGAACAGATTTTGAAGTCAGTAAGGTTTCACGGTTTGGCTTACAAAATCCTTAACTAATGCTGATGTATATGAAAGAAAGAACCCTACTTGACTCTTACCCCAGGTGTATCTACTGGGGTCACAGTTAAGGGGAAAATAGTTTTACTTCTAAACTAAGCCATTTGATATAGAAGCTGTTAAAAGATAATAGTATAATTCTGCAATAATGGTGGAAGCTCACAGTGCTTTTCAGAACAGAATCACACTTCAGCATTTGAGGAATTTTTAATTAATACATTATTTTATTTAAATAAACTCATTAACCTTTTCGTGTCTTTTTAAATAGATGTTTTTATAACTTACGGTTGAAAGATTTGGGTATAGTAATTTTTTTTTATTTTCAAAAATGTGAGTATAACTGACATACTATACAAATGTACAGTAAAAGTATTTAACAAAGAATTTTATGTAAGATTCAGGTTTCACAGCTGAAATATATTTGAAGTGAGGAAATGGAAAACATTAGAGAAGATGCCTACAGAAAGTTCCCCCTGCCACAATGTACATATGTAGTGTTTTCTCTTCCTGTTTTTCTTAAAGAGCAAATCTTGCTGTCCTTAGTCAGATGAGTTGTTGCATTGAAGTAAATAGTTGGTTACATGAGTAAGGTGAGCAAGACCTGGCTTAACTGTTCCTTAATATATTATTGTTTGAGCCCAATCCTGTTCCCATTGATATTAAGAGGGAGCAGTGCCGAGCCCACTGTTTAAACAGATTTCACAAAGTACCCAAGATATGTAATGTGGCTGAGTCAATGTGGTGGTAGAAATCTTAACTTCTGTGCTTTCATACCTTTTTATTAAAACTGTGCAGCCTCTCTTACTATGACATAGGTTTTACATTAAATTTCTTTTGTTTTGTTCCTTTGATTGTTTGCCAAACTTGACATTTTACAGAGGCTAGATTTCTAGGAAATGCGGAGCATCTACCATCTGCAATTTGGGCCCTTTTTAAAGTGAATCAAGCTGGGCACCCAAAGCTCATCTTAACTAATTCGCCTCTCACAGTTTGTATGGTAACTTCCAACTTGTGTATGTGTATATCTTACTATATGTTCCATTCTATGCATCCGATGAAGTTAGCTGTAGCTCACGAAAGCTTATGCTCAAATAGATTTGTTACTCTCTAAGGTGCCACAAGTACTCCTGTTCTTTTTGCGGATAAAAACTAACACGGCTGCTACTCTGAAATCCTCAATTTTGAAAATCTTGGTCCGTCTTCTTACTGTTACCAGCTAAATGTTCCTAGTTAGCCTTTGCCATTTACACGCTGTTGAGTTGAACAGGATAGGGAGGGAATGAATTCACATCGTTGATGTTCCTATTGGTTGGCTGTGATGTATAAAAGTGAATGAACTGGGCAGCAGTATGTTATGTAATTTGTTTCGACTTTATAGTTATAATGAATAAAATTATAGAAACTTATTTTTTAAATGAAAACTTTGAATGTACAACATATTATAATGGAGCAAAATTTTGCAGTCCTTGTCAAATCATGGGAATCTATGACTCTTTATTTTAATCATGCTTGTGATTTTTCTCCTCATGAGTTTTGGGAGAATTTTACTCTGTGTGTGCCATTGAGACATTTTCAGGCTTAGACAATTGTGATAGCAGCAGTCTTTCTACTTGGAAAGGTGGGAAGGGAGAAAATACATTGATATCAAGAGGAGCAAGGGATACAATTTTCAAGTGCCTCATTTTCACTAAGCTTTCAGTTCCTTATAGTGCCTTTGAAAATTTTACCCAAGACTTCATTCAAATAAAAATTTTAGCTAAGATTAGAGAACATTTAAATCCCCACCACCATCACCTTCTTCTCAGGCAATTATAACTCAAATAGCTGAAGGGATTTTGCTAAAGGTATGTTTGGGGTTTTTTTAAACCTTTGAGCACAGATCAAACAAAGAAAATTTCAGCCTATAAGATAAATATTTCACATGCTGATAACTTTCTGAAAATATGGGGGAAAAGAGTTATAATGAGAAGTGACTAGCAGCAGGTTGGGGTGAGAGTTGTGTTCTGTGGCGTCAGGTAAACAGAGAATGATACAGAAAAAAATCTGCTTTTTTTCTCATCGCCCTCCTAGAACAGACTGATATGCTAGGACTCACAGACAACAATAAAAGTAAAGCTGTGCAATATTTTGCTTTTAAGGAAACAGTAAAAGAAAAGAAAGCAACAATACAATTTGTCATTTGAAAAAGCTATCTGGTAAAGGTAGCCATAGACCAAAATAATCTCCCTTTTCTCCCAATGCTATTGTTATTCAAGTGTCAGAGCACACTATATTCCATTGCTTTGTGTTTTCTATTAGACTTTCCCAGAATGAAAACACACTTATTTCAAGTGTCAAGGATTTTATGAAAAGGCTGATTTACTGCTCCAAGATGCTCTGATTTTTAAAGCCAGAAGGGAGCATTGTGCCTTGTTACAGGTGACAGTCTGATTAAAGTATCCTAAAGACTTAAAGGAATTCTTTTAAATGTTCTTTACCTTATCAAATCCAAGCAAGTCTTCAGTCTTTAAGATAATGAAATCACAAAATTCCAGTGAACTAAGAATAAAAATATTTTAGATTACTAAGCAGTCTTCACACCTAGAGCTGTCACAGATCCATAAACACACGTCTTGGCCACTCACCAGACTGCTATTAGGAAATCCAACCGCTGAATCCCTGGGTGTTTTAAGCCTCAAGAGTCTGAAGAGAGTCCAGGCACTGCTCTTGTCTTGGGGTCCTTAGACATACTCTTGGGGTGCAGATCCTATGTCTAGTACCCACTTATGAGAGCCACAATCATACAGCCAGCTGCCCACTCCTGGAAGGATGCTGATGCTTCAGGCTTCCTCCTATAGCTTAAACACATCTTCTTCCAGAGCTCCAACACCACGTGGGTGTTCTGGGCCCACAGTTTACCTCTTCAAGGGACACATGAATAGTGTAACATGTAACATTGCTCTTTACCTAATTGTACAAGAAATACACAGGTCCGTGCAAAAATAATAAGCCATCACCACTACCAGAATTGTTTTTTGTGAGAAAGCAATTAGGTAACTCCAGGAGAAGGTTCATGGCTGTAAATCCCATGAAGAGATAGGGACCTCCCTCCAGCCCAGACATAAGTGCATAAGACTCTTTTGAGGGGTGGGACTTAATACCTGCCCCTCTCCTTGGCATTTCCTGTTGGCTAGGTTAGGCAGCTCCACACTCATCTGGCTGGTTTTTTTGGATGCCATTCTTAGGCGCATGACTTTCTCAATGCATTGTACAGGGAGCATGTCTACCTCAAGGCCGTGGATTCCACTAGTCAGTAGGGTGCCTAAATGTTAAATATTGCAATGTCAAATCTAAATCCCCTTTTTGGATCTAGCCCTTTGAGACTTCTCTTCCTAGCTTGCCCTCTCTGATTCATCCACTCCCTCTCACCTGGCCACACTTCCTGGAGGGGTCTCTGTCATCCTCCTATGAGTCCTTTTTAAAGTGAGCTGTAGCTCACGAAAGCTTATGCTCAAATAAATTTGTAGTCTCTAAGGTGCCACAAGTACTCCTTTTCTTAACACCACCTTGTTGTCTTTGTTCTGCAGCTGGTAATTTTTCAATCTCCAAATCCCTAGTCCCCAGTTGAGAGAAGTTATAGAGAACTGATTTCCCTAGGATGCAGTTACTCTTCTGGTCTCCCCAGAAGGAGGGGTGCTGATCATCCTTAACAATTGGCTATAGTCCCTGGGCTGGGAGGGACAGTTTTAAAGGCTTATCAGCAATGGTGGATACATAAATCTAGCTGCATTCCGTGACACAGCAGTTTTCATCGTAACAACTTCATAATATCAACCAGAATTCAGATTTTGTACAGACACATTCCTCAGATTGTCACTAGAGCTGTTCTTTTTTCCCTACAGACGATTTCAATTTTTGGTGAAAATTCAAAAACCAAAATTCTTCATCCAAAATCAAAAATAGTTTGATTTGGAAATGCTGCCATGGTAACTTACAGGAGTGGTAGTAAGGGTGCCTCATGCTTTCATTTTCCTCTATGAACCAGGCTCCCTGGTCTGACTACATGTCCCATGATGCAATATGGTCTCTCCTCTTGGAGAGGAGAGGTGATATTCCAGGGAAGTCTCTGGCCATGGTGCATCATGGAAAATATAGTCTGGCCAGGGAACTGGACTAATGCAGTGGAAAGGGGCATGAAGCAGCTAACTAAAACTTCCACGAGGCATCTCAGTAGCATTTCCAAATTAAAAAATTTCTAATTTTAGATGAAATATTTGTTTTCTGATGAACCTATATTTCTGGTGGAAAGACACTTTTGCAAAAAACTTTTAGTCAAAAACCCAATTTTTTGTCAGTTTTGATGGATTTTTTTTTTACCAGCATTAATAAAATCTTTTAAAAAAATTAGTACCTATTGTATTATTATCTGCTGCTGAAGTGGCTTCCCAGAATCCACAAGGTAATATCAGGGGAAGAAAGAGAGGGTGAAGCTTTTTAAAAGTAAATAATTCTTACCTCTCACAAAATTGATAAATTTATAAAATACAATCCTAGGCATGCTTAATATGGTAGCAGAGCTCAGAGGGGCTTGCTGCTTGTCACTAGCAAAGCATTGTGAGAGACAGCCCAGGTTGGACACTTAAGGGGACACAGCAGTCCCACAGTCCTGGGCTGCACCCCAGGGATCCCATCACAGATACCAATCCTTGAAATCCTGTTACTGTTTCACATCCACCACTATAGTACTGAAGTGTACCAACAAAAGAGGGAAGAGTATTGTATCATGAAAACAGTTGCATGTCAGATTTCCGGAGATGAATTAAGATCTATGTACAACTTGGCACATCAATCAGGAGTCAGGAATGTGGTATCTGGATTTACAGCTATGACAAAAAAATAGTGGATTTGATTGTTTAATGCTCTGATTCTGAACAGGTTCCTAAATACTAAACCTATTTCAGCCGTATGCATAAAACTGATATTGTACAAGACTGATTTTTTTGTTTAATTTTCAGTGAAAGGTAAGTAGATGCTTATGCTTCTTATTTGTAAGTGTTAGATTCCCATTTCAGTTTGCTGTTTTGAAAGTAGTGTGGTCTAGTGGCTACCCCAGGATAATGGAGTAAAGAAATCAAGGCTGTATTCCCTCCGCTAGTAAGGATTCACTGTATGATCTTGTTCAAGTCTGCTGCTTTAATTTCCCCATTTGGTTAATTGTTGATGAATACTGTGGTGGGGGAAGGAGAACAAGAATTGGACTACTGGATACTGCCTCCCTACATGCTCTTTCTTATTGCTGCTGGTTGCAAGAGGCTATAGCATGATGATATAGTACATAGTGTATAATAATTAACGGCTGTTAAAGCACTTTGAGATCCTCTGAGATGCCATTTTAGTTTGACCTATTTTTTTTTTTATTGGCCTATTCAGCATTGAGCAGGATTTGTCCTTTGGGTAAAGGAGTTGTCTGTCTAATCCAAGCTATGATATGCAGCTGGAGCCCTGGGTACCACTTGTTCTCCAGCCCCACATCTCCCAATACATGCTGGATGCAATCAATTTGTGGAATAAACTTCACAAAAGGTTAACTCTGTTTTGTTTTGTTTCACAGCAAATTGCCAACTAGAAAAAGCTTAATTTGCTGGGCATATGGCAGGGGGTCATGTTCTAATGAACATGTAGCTCAGAAACCTGAAGAAGAGTGGACATGTACTCTCTGCACTCTAATAAACAAACCTTCTGCTAAGATCTGTGATGTTTGTTTGACTTCAAGGCCTGAAGGTAATGATAGCTTTTGTGTGCTGGTTTTGTATTCTGTTTACAGTATTATCCTGTTGTAGAAAGTGGTATTTTACCAGTACATTGAGAATGTTTGTTGCAAACTCCAGTCTTAATTTTTAAACCAAACTTTAAGGCTAGATTTTCAGTGAATTTCAAACCAGAATATAACCTTGCAGGTTATTTTTACATGAGTAACTGCATATCTGATTATTACCTTGTTTGCATGGGTGTAGATTTTGCACAAGAACACAGAGGGGCAACTTATTTGACCCTTTGAATCCTGTAATATTTGCCCACTAATAGCCTAATTTTATGAAGTGCTGTGTATGCTTAACTCCACTCTGTTCAGAGTAGGGATGACTCTTGGCTCTGCTAGCTCCCTCTTGTAGGCAGGGTGGCTCCTACTACAGCCATGCTGCTTTTGACTAGATCTCCCTGAAACTGCTCAGTAGCAGTTGTGGATGAGACCCAGACAGTGTGGGGAAAAGAGCTCTGAAGTATATTACCTCCTGCCTGGATTAGTCTGGAAATCTGTGTACCAGGCAGGGATGGTGAGGTGGAGAGCAGATATCCCTGGGCTCCATCGCTTCCCAGGTCCAACTCTACTGCATAGGCCTGCATAGAGACATTATGTGGGACAGGGGAGCCCTTCCCAATTCTTCCATGTGAAAAGGAGATCTGTATACAAAGGGAACTCTGAAAAACAGCCTACGTTAAGAACCCAACTCAAAAATCCTTGGGTTGCTACATGTATTCTAAGAAGCTACATCATAAGACAAAATGTGTTTTTAAGGAAGACTGCTTACACCACAGTCGCATGTGCCTCTTTACCGCAAAAACACTTGCATCTGTTACTCTACACTATGCTTAAGCTTCCTATGTATATGTGCAAGAAATGTAAAGGGTAAAGAATCATATAGATTGTGGGACTTGTGTGTTAAAGTCCCCTAGTTGGTTTTGACAATGTGTTTAAATTCCTTAGTTGATTTGAAAATCTTAATCATAGTGCTGATGTTTGTTTCTACAATACTTTTTTTTTTTTTTTTTAACTGTGGCTATTAATTCATTCTGGGTGTCTTTTTGTAGTGGGGAGTAAGATGCTTTGACTTCTATGTCATGTTTAGCTGGCACAGATGTCTTTCCCCAGGCCAGGAATGAAGAAAAGTGTTTATCTCTGCAGCTAGCACAGATTTCTGTTGCCAGCAGAGGCTGAGCTTGCTGGTTCTTTTCCTCCAGAATCCCAGTGTGAGAAACCTGAAACCTGTCCGCAAACTCAGATTTGCCAATTAACTTTTTTTTTAATTTATACACCCAGCTGATTTTCTAAAACTTACAGCACTCTCTCTGCAACAAAGGCATTGTAGCCTAAGGCTTTAGAACAAAGTCCTGATTATTCTGTTTCTTTTCCTCCACCTCTTCCCCATTCCAATCATGTAGCACTTACGATATTATCAAAGACTGAGGTCTGGAACTTGAGGATTTGGTTAATTCAGTGAAACATCTTTATCTACAAAATTTCAATTACATATTTTCTGTTTAAATCAAATTTTCCTCATGTTGCAGAAAGTAGTATGTAAAGTGTTTTTTTTTTCCAATGTAGGGCTTTATCATTTACCTGTCTTTATAGACATTAAGATTCTTGGTCCCTTTTTTTTTAATTTGTTCAATTTTATATAATTAATTTCTCCCTGGAGTTCCAGTTGTGAACAGTATTCTACACTTGTGTAGTACTGTTACCTGCTGTTAAACAGCTATCATGTTCGACTCCAAAAGTGGCTGAACTTCTGTGATGGAGGAAAATTAATCCTGTGTATATCTAATCTGTGAAGTAGTCTATATAAATGTATGGTGGATGTTAATACATGCAGTTTATATATGACCTATAGACATACTTTCACACAAATGGCTAACCAAGAATTTTTTCTCCAAGTTTCAAAGGTAGAGAATGATAAAGATTCTACAGCCTCTAATAGCAGGTTAGTCAAGTACCCTTGTAACTGCTTTGGAAAGCCAAACACAGAAATAAAGGTCAATAGGAAAACCACATTTGGAATGACAACTCTAGTTTTGACAGATCTCAGCAGTAAATTCACTCCGTTAAAAAATGACAGAAGTGATAGTCAAACGCCAGATGGGAATTCTCACTGTGACTCTCCAAGAAACTACAACTATTGCCAGAATAACACCTGCCAGAGGAGTGGAAAAAAGTATGAATTTCATTCAGCAAATTCACTCACTGCAGTAAATACAGTATCACCCTCCCACCATCAGTCTGATTCTTCTAATCCAGTGCAGAAGAAACAGAAGATTGATCATTCAGCCTCAGATTTCAAAAGTAACGTGAGTTTGTCAAATAGGTATGTTATTTTCCAAAACTTAAACAAGCTTTTCATTTAAAGTACATCAGTCTTGTATAAAAATAAACTTGCAAACTGGAAATTAATGTAAGTCTGTGTTTGGGGGAAAATTTGGTTTTGGCCTTTGATGTTTTACTTTAAGAACCTAAGCCAATTCACTTATTTCTCTTGTGCTGGTGTGATTGAGCAACACCAAAAGTACTTGCTGTAACTTCAGAAGGCTCCGAGGCAGAAGGGAGGAAAGCCCGGGGGGAAACATTGGCCTGGAGAGCACTGGAGATGGGGCAATGTATTCAGTGGAAATGTGGCAAGTCAGAGAGTTGAGTGAGAGTTCGGGGATTGGAGAGGGTGAGAACAAAGCCAAAATGGAAAAATTCACAGAAAAGGAATAAAATAAGAACAGATTAAAAAAAAACAAAAGGAGACAGCAAAAGGAGATTAGGGTATGATGATGAAAGTGTACCCATCTATTACCACTAAAGGCTGGAAACCACTGATTTGGCTGATTCTGATACATTGATGTCAAAGCCTGACACAAACATGTTTCACTGTCTGCAACCCTGTCTCCAAAGAGCCAGGAATTAGTGGCAAGCATTGCAGGAACAATGTGATTGGATGCTTTGCTGGATGAACCAGTGCTTTCCACATCCAAGAGCCCAGTATGTGATCACACTGTAATGAGAGAACTTTGAACAGTATTTATTTAAGTATTGCTTCCATTCCATTGACATTTCCAGAAATGATAGTGATAGTAATTAAAAGAGATGGGATGAAATATCTTCAAATTTTTGGGGATTGAACTATGGGATACTATGATGTGGGTCTCTCTCGTTAGAGCCATTCCAGAACAATTAAATAATTAAACATTAACTGGGCCAGAAAGAAAAGCAATCACTATATAGTCCAGTAAAATGAGGAGATTCTTCCCAGTAAAATTGGGAAGAAATCTCCCTATCTCACAAGGGTGTTTCTGGCACTTGGATATTATATAAAAGGACCCACACAGGTAAAAATGAATGTAGCTTACAAACACTGTGACTTTTTAAAAAAAAAAAAATATATTCTTTTTCTAATTTTCAGATTAGGTACACTACATAGCGCTGCTAGATTCTGAGGTTAAGGAACATCTCTTCAATGCAGCCCCATTCTGATTAGCATGAGCATTCTACTGGGCACAATCAGAACACATGCATCCAATACAATAGATACTTCCAGTGGCACTTCCATTCAAGTGAATTGTATAAATTTCAAATTCCTTTGGTTTGGTTTGTTTCATTTTCCTTTGACTAGTCACAGTAATGTATCCTGAACAGCAACTGAAAATGGGCTACTCTAGAAACACTGGAACCAGTTATAAAACTAGCCACCAGTGCTCTTTTTCCCTGGTAATCTCTGGTCTCTGTGGTTAATTGGTCTCTGTAATTATATTATTCAGTGCAAACATCCACTGGGCCTTGGACCCTGACTTTTGCCTAAAATGAAAATATCCTTAATTGCCTTGGGGTGTAGGAATTCATTCATTCTTGATTATTAAAGTATAACGGTACCAGTATTACTTAGATTAAAAAAAAACTAAAATGATAATTTAGGCAATGTTTTGTTTTAAAACGAGAATTAATTTTATTGCGAAGATTAATTTCTTTCTGCAAAAAGAAAAGGAGTACTTGTGGCACCTTAGAGACTAACCAATTTATTTGAGCATAAGCTTTCGTGAGCTACAGCTCACTTATTTTATTATATTTTGCACATTTAAAAGCCAGATTCTCAGTTCTAACTGGTTAGAGAAATCCATCCAGTGATGGGCATGAAGGGGCCTCTTGAGCGCCTTTGTTAAAATTCACTACCAAATTTAAGAGAAGGTTGGAGTGATAGTTCTGCTTCCCATGGAGTTATTCCATCTTTGGATCCCTGCCGGAGGTGTAAAAACAAAAAACTACTTCTGAAAACCTCTTTTTTCATTTTATTTTTTGGCTGCTGTTGCTGCTGCCCCACTACCTTGGGAATGGACAAAATTATACTATATTGCATTCACTTGCCAAAATAAATAAATAAATAAATAAAAATGGTTCTACAAGGTCATAAACCCTGCTTCAAATTGCACAAGTTAAACATTGGCCTGTTCTGTCACACATATTCAGTTTAGTTTTTCCTGGACAGCATAAAATAAATATCTTTCAGTACAGCTTCAAGGGATGCAGTCAATTTGAAAATCACACTTGTTTGAAAATTTGTGACCTACTCTAGTTAAGAGAAATATCTAAGATTACTAAAATGGAAATGAGTGAATGGGGAAAATATTTCTCTTCCTATTTGTTTACTTTGTGCATTTGACAGCACTTATGTCCAGACTTCAGAGGTGCTGAGCAACCCAGATTCCCATTGAAAAAAAATCAAGCTTTTAGCATCTGGTCAGTTTCATTGTAGCTTGATGATTATCTGAACTCAGCTGTGGTAAATCAGCATAGATGAGTCAGTGGAGCTATGCTGATTTACCCCAGCTGAGGATCAGTCCCATGATCTTCTGCACTAGCAATTTACTTCATTCACTTCACCTTGCTGAAAGATCTATAACACATCATCAGGAGGCAGAAAATTCATTACGAAAAGTCAAGTTGATAGAGTGCCTTTTAACTTGTTTGCCAGGTGGTGGTTCCTCCTTCCTTGGTTATCTTTGAGTATTTTTTTTAAATGGGAAAACAAGTTAATGAAATAGACTCCTCCTATTTTGGAAGTACATGTGCACTTAGTACATGGGGCTCATCACCCCCTAAAGGGAGGGGGAAGACATTTTTCATGGAACCTCATTAAAAAAAATGACCAAATGACACTGAGTTAAAGACCAAACACCAAAGGTAACTTCTGCCTTTTGCTTAAATATGTATATTCCCATTACCTTAATATTGCAAAATAATTGGCCAACAATCATATTTTAAATAGGATTAGGTCAGAGGTTCTTCTGTACTAATGTGATTGTATCCAAAGAGACCATTAGGCTCCTCAGTGATTTTCACCAGTCTTCCAAACCAGAGGTTCCAACATGAACCTCTGTTGGAAAATGAATGTTTGTAGATGTTCCCCACATGTACTCATTTAAAAATAAACATTGTGGGCTGAGCTCTGAACAAACACAGACCCTGATAAGACAAAATGCAACAGGTTGGAAGCAACTGAGGTGGTCAAGGCAGAGACGGGAGACACGGTAATGGGAACACAAGGTTACTCAGATAACTTGTGTTGCGCATAATATGCCTGAAATTTCCTGGTCAGATTTTTGCTCTTTAAGATAGAGATGAATGAATCTCTTACATTTTCACCCCAGTTTACATCACTAGTGGAAGGCTGTTCCACTCCGTAAACATGACGTGTAACCTGTATCTGTTAAAACAGATTCCTTTTTTCTCTAAAATACTTTTAAAGAAAACTCACCTTATTTAAACTGTAGGTAACTAAGAAATATGCCCTTGTGTGTTGAATTCAGATATAATCTCCAACTATTCTTAATAATAACAGTAAGGGAGAACAAAGCTTCCCTACCAGCTTTACAAGAAAAGTTTCCGCTCAGTCAGCTAGACAGTTCCTTATTGGAATATGATTGGGATAATTACAGTAGTTTTTATCAAAGAGCGTGGAAAATTACCTACTTGTCCACTTTAGAGACAAAGACCCTAATGGCCTTGTCTAAGCTATTTGTGATGGTTTTCCATTGCATGAGAGACGGAGAGAAGATTGTAAATGTAAACATTCTTGCTGTTAAGACATCCTGAATTTCAAACTAGATAAAATCCCATCCATAGTGGAAAACTGGTATATATGTAAAAGCCCTGAGGTAAGACAGCTTCTAGATTTAGATTGGAATTTACTTCATTTTTTTAGAAGGTTAAATTTAGCATTCAACGTCAGGGAAATCCATCCATTTTATATATAAAGAACCAAAGGGGTGGATTAGAAAAATTCTATCCAGCTGTCACTCTGTGCAAAGATACATTATTGACAATCCTGTTTTACAAGCCAGTGTGTGTGGGGGGGGACGAGGGGGGGGTTTGGTGGTGTTAATCCCTTTAAATTATTTAATATTGTAATCTGTCATTACAGTGAACATCGAGTTAACATGACAGATGGTATTTGTACATTAAATGCGGGCAGTCCTCGCTGCAGTAAACACAACCGCCCCTGCAGTCTCAGAGTTGTGAGAAAGGAGGGAGAAAACAAGGGCAGACAATTTTATACTTGTCCTCTACCCAGAGGGACTCAGTGTGACTATTTTGAAGTAAGTACAAGACCTCGGGCCTTAGTTTTAACCTTTCCAATGAAACAAATAAAACTATTATTCATCAGTCAAAACCCCCTTTTTTGCTTTAACTAAATCCTTTTGTTCCTCAAATATTTTTAAACATTTTAGAAAATATTAATTATCAGCTTAATATCTAATGTACACAAGTTAATATAATTTCCTATTTATTAAATAGAAAAAAGTACCATGGAAAATGGATGAGATTCTGGCTAACAATTGTTTTGTTTTGTACCTGAGGAAGGTTGGATTGTTGTAGGTTTTAAAATTACTGTTATTCAAAAGTAATGTCTGAGGGAGATCCCACTTTGGCTACATCTATGCTATCTGCTAGGTGCGTGACTTCTCCTGCTTGCATACATATACTCATGCTGGCTCTCATCCAGTTAGTGCAAGTATAAATAGCAGTGTAGCCACAGTGGCAGCAGAGGGTATGTGCCTGGTCTGGTTAAGCCATACCTCCGCAGCCACCACCCATACCATCACAGCTACATTGCTATTTATACTTGTGATGGCTCAATGAGAGCAGGGGAATCACACCCCTAGCTCAGAGTGTAAACCTTGCCTGTACACAGTTCAGTAGTAATTGAAAAATTAAAAAAAAATTCCATTGTAGTAGCTTTGAAGAATCAGAGTATGACTGTATGCATATTTGCAATCTTCTATATCTGAGCACTATAGAAAAATGAAATTTTATCTTAGATACAATTTCAAAAGTACCCAAGTCCCACTAACTTTCAGTGCGACTTAGGCTACTAAGGGCCAGAATTTCAAAAGCATTTAGGTGAGGTGCAGGTAGTTACCTAATGGGATTTTCAAAAGTGTCTTAGCAGGGTAGGCATATAACTCCCAGTTCACATGCTTGGTTACTTGAGGCTATCACTTGGGTAAAGCAAATGTGTGTACCACCTCCAGAGTGCGGTCAATTTAGACACATTGTTCTACTGCAGTTTGTACATGGGGTCGGGGGGGAGTGGTGCATTCAAGTCAGTGGCTTTAGGACCATGTGATCAAGAAAGATCCCTCTCAAATGTCCCATTAGTCTACTTAGTAACAGCACTTGCTTCCCTTCGTCATTCTTAGTAAAATGAGGAAATTGCAACTTAGACCTATTGGTCTATGCATGCGACTTATCAGACCACTGAGAAGAACTTATAACACAATAATTCATTTGAAACACTCATCATTCAGAAGAAAGGTGCATTTTAATACCAAGTTGAAGTTTTATGTGCATATAATTTATTTACTGTAAATTCAGTTATAGCTATGGAAGTCAAACTACCAGACTCTTAAGAAATTAAATAAGCGGTTTTAAGGGGAGCTTTTTTTTTTTTTTGATTGCCACTTGCATGGCGGAATCAAGTGGGAGGGCTTATCCTGTACATCTGAATTTTTGTCATTGGTCCATAAAAAGGAATTTGACCATTAGACACAGTAACACCCATGGGTAAATTAATAATTTCTCTTTACAGTGGGCAGACTCACAGTTTCCATTCTGCCATCATGGGAAACGCTGCATTATGAGGACAGTGTTGAAGATTGGGGCTAATAATGGAAAGAATTTTTTTGTGTGTCCTTTTGGGAAGGATAAACAGTGTGATTTCTTTAAGTGGGCAGAAAATGGACCAGGAATGAAGATTATTCCAGGATGTAGAGATTTTCATCTATAGTGACATTGGTCTTTTCATACTGTGTGTACTATAGTTCTCTGGTCCAAAGGATATTATTTTAGGAGATTCATTCTCAGGTGACATTTCACAATAAAAAAATGTGCCTAGATTCTGTTTGGAAAGGAAAACTGTGAGGTGGGGTTAGAGAAAATTTTATTTTCTGTTCATTCCTTGTAGCTGTAGCTGTTTTATCTAACTGTAGGATCTTTCAGAATTAGCAATTAACATATCTGGCATTCTGAAAATTAAACAATGGTAACATATCATTAGCATGCTAGTTTCCTGGGAGAAGACCTAGTCTGAAAGGGGGGAGGGGAGGAAATAATATATCTGTCATTAAGGTGTAGCTGTCGCAGTTCATGATGTATTGTAATATTCTGTCAGTGCAATATTTCTGGTTTTGATTGGAGTCTGTCTGTTCCTTATGTAGGCGTGGCGTTAATTTCTCAGCATTTCAGATGTTCAAATATTTATTGTTATATGTGATTTCTGAAAAATGTAACTCCTCTCAATATATTTTAAATAATTTGGTTTTAATATAACTTCTCATATAATGGAAGGTGAACATTTTGTGTTCAATAAAATTTAAGAAAAAAAATCACTATTTAATTTTATTTATACAGATCCATGTTTAATGGTTTGTTATGAGGATCAATGTATTTGTACACTCAAATCTAATCATACTTAATGAGTTCACTATTGTTGGCTAGACTTGTAGTAGAAGACACTAACATTTGTTTTATAATTTTACAAATCTCTCTAATGCATATTTTAATCTGTTTTAATGACTCGAGTGCCACTTAATAGATCCCTGAAAGGATGTTACTAGTGTGCTATTGTATAACAATACTAAGGACCATAATTCTGTTGTGATTCACAATCAGTGTAAATCTGTTAAGCAACAGTGCTATTTATTCTTAACAGCTTCTGGAAATTTATGTTTGCATATGATATGTCTTTGTGGCTGCTGTCCAGGATCATGGGAAAAAGAAGAAATGAAGAGGGGGGAGGAGTGGTAATCAAAAAACCTTACATTTCCTTACTAAAATATGATCTGCTGAAAATAGTAAGCAAACTAAAAGCTAACTAAAGGCTCAATTATAAAACCTTGTGACCCCTATCCCATGAAGCACTAATGCATCTTTATAACAAAATGAAAATATTGAAATTACATAGAAAATAAGAACACGAGTACAAGGTTTATTTAGATGACAGACTACTAAAGGGATAATCTCTTCATTTTACAGAGTCTCCTTTACCCCTTACAACACTTCAGATTGTAAAACCTAAAGCCTTTACATGTTTTTCAAGCTTTGTTGTCAATTTTACTTTGTGCAACCTGACTGAAGTGCAAAATGAAAACAAGTCATTTGTCACTTTCTTGGTTCTCCTGCACAGTCATAATTCTGCAATGTTTGAGTTGTAAACACTTCAAGGAAATGACTAAATTCAAAATAAACATTTTTCAGATTTTTTTTAAATAGTTGCTTAAACTAGCTTATATTAAATTCCTTTAAAAAACCCAAAACACTACTTTTTGGCACTGTCCATCTTGCTAACAGGGTTGGCCTTGAAACTAGACTATTCAAAAATTTAAAAAAATGATTAAATGAATTTTGACAAAAGGGCAAAATTTGGAAACTCTTGAATTCTTTTTAGCCAGTTGTTAAAGCCAAACAAGTTGTTAAATGCTAAGCTATACAAACTGAAACAAATGCATCTCGCCGTTTTTAGGTTACAGGATTATAGCTGTTTGTGCCTTTATTGCAGAGGTTTTTTTGTGCCCTATTCCAGCAATTTGGGAATCCATAGAGAAAAATATATCAGACTTGAAAGGCTAACAATCTGATCAAAGAGCAGTGAGCTATATAAGACAATCAAATATTAAATTACTTTTTAATCAGAATTCCCCATTGAAACAAGTGGTCAGTCCTTCGTAACCTTAGGGCATGATATGCAGCAGGCATAACATCAGCAGATCAGAAAAGGAGCTTCTACTCTTTAAAACGTCTGATTTTTAGGATATGATCCAACACCCAGTGAAGTCAATGAATGGACTCCTAATGATTTCAGTAGATTTTGGATTAGGCATTTAATACACATTCACTGTTACTGCTATTTGGGCAACATTTGGAAAAAGTCTCTCGCTATAAATTGCAGAAAGCAATTTAGAAATCAGAGCAAGAAATACGTTAAACTAAATAGTTTTCATGGTTATTGGCTCATCTCTTTAATAATAAATTTTCACAAAGCCTGAATAATTTAAATGTATTAGAAATAAGTTACTGCATTAAAAAACTGCATTCTTTTAAAATGGTAAATGGTACATTTTGTATCAAAGCTTGCAGTTAATTTTTTTTATTATCATAAAAAAGCAAGCTCTGCTGAAAGCATATTTCCAGGACTTTCCTATTAGTAGGAAGCAGTGAGTATAACAATTAAACATATTAGCACATGAAAGCCTCATGCATAGACTCAAATGTAGCATCAAAGGGATGTCCTAGGATGGCCTACTAAGTAATCAGAAGTGACTGCAGATAAGTAGCTTGTGAACAGCTGCAGAAAATCAAGTTTTGTTTTAAATCTGAGACTTCACAACGACCAACTCTGTGTTTCTACTGAGGGACTTCAACACTTATGTACATAGGGGAACAATGGAGATACCTGGAGGGGAGTGATTGGGTGGTATGGCCTTCCTGGCTTGGACCCGAGAGGTGAGTTGTTATTGGATTTCTGTGCTAGTCGTGGATTGTCCATAACGAATACCATGTTAGAACACACAGTTGCTCATAAATGTACTTGGTACCAGCGCATCTTGGGCCAAAGATTGATGATCTTGTCAGACCTAAGGCCATATGTTCTGGACACTCGAATGAACGGAGGCAGAGCTGGCAACTGATCTCCACTTGGTGGTGAGTTGGATTCAACTCATGGGACACCGGCTGGTTAGACACAGGAGGCCCAAACGATCAGTATGGGTCACCTGGGAATGTCTGGTGGAAGACCTTATGCGGAAAGACTTCAGTTCCCACTTCCGGAAGAACTTCTGCATTCCGGGGGAGGTCTTGCACATAGCGTCCGAGTGGACCATGTTCAGGGCCTCAATTGTTGAGGCAGCCATGAAAAGGTGTGACCTGAAGGCAGTTGGTGCCTGTCATGGTGGCAACCCTAGAACCTGCTAGTGGACTCTGACTTGAGAGCTTTCCTCACCTATAAAGGAGGCCTTCCGAGCAGTGCTTGTGAACTGGACTCCTGATACGGTTGAGAGGTACCGGCTGACTAAGAGGGCTGCGGCTGTGGCAGTTGTTGAAGTGAAAGCCCAGGCTTGGGAGGCATTTGGAGAGACCCTGGAGAATGACTATTGGATGGCCTCAAAGGTGTTCTAGCAAGCCATTTGTCACTTTAGGAGGGGTCGGCGGGATGTTTGACAGGTTGTACTCAGTAAGGGAGGTGAAATGCTGATCTTGACTGAGGAGATCGTCAAGAGGTAGAAGGAGCACTTTGAGGAACTCAACCCGATGGACATGCTCCCCTTCTAGGAGGCAGCACTGGAAACCTCCAGTGAGATCAGATCTATTTCTGATGCTGAGGTTGATACAGCGGAAAAGTGTCTTCATCATGGTAAAGCAGCAGGGGTGGACAAGATTCGCCCGGTGATGTTGAAAACCCTGGACAATGTTGGGGTGTCATGGTTAACACACTTTCATTGGTGCGTGGAAGGCAGGTGCAGTATCTCTGGACTGGCAAACTGGGGTGGTGGTCCCAATCTTTAAGAAAGGAGACCTGTTCCAACTATAGGGGGATCACACGCAGCCTCCCCAGCAAAATCTATTCCAGGTTGCTGAAGAGGAGGTTATGCCCATTAGTTGAACCTCTGTTCCTCCTGAATCTATGTGGATTCTGTCACAGCTGTGGAACAAAGGACCAGCTCTTTGCTCTCTCGCAGATACTTGAGGGATCATGGGAGTTTGCTAATCCAGTCTACCTTTGTTTTGTAGAACAAAACCTGGAGAACACATATGACCGCATTCCCAGAGATGTCTTGTGGGAAATGCTGCAGGAGTTTGAGGTACTGGTGCTGCTTTTGCATACTATCCGGTCCCTTTAGTCTCTGAATGAGAGTTGCGTTCATATTCTTGGTGTTGTCAAGTTCATTCCAGGTGCGCCAAGTGCATGTCTTGTCCCCACTCCTGTTCATGATTTTCATGGACAGGATATCAAGGTGCACATGAGCTGTGGAATACATTCAGTGTGGGAACTTGGAGGTGGCATCTCTGCTGTTTGCAGATGATGATGTCCTTGCTTTTTCAGACTGTGATCTCCGATGGGCACTCAAACATTTCACTGCTCAGTGTGAAGCGGCTGAGATGAGAATCAGCACCTCCAAATCAGAGGTTGTGATCCTTTCCCGGAAGAAAGTGGACTGCTCTTCTTCGAGTGATTTGCTCATATTGATTCCAATTAGGTGTGTGCATGCCACGTGCATGGCCGTCAGAAAGTTTTTCCCTAGCAGCATCTGTCGGGCCAGCAGTTGAACCCCCTGGAGTGGCACCTCCATGGCGCTCAATATACGACGCTGCTGACCCAGGGTCCTCCAGTTCCTTCTTACCGTCCATGACGGTCATTGGAACTGTGGCGTCTTGCTCAGCAAATTCTCCAAGTTTCCCTACCTTTAGTTAGATAGTAGTAGTTCTGGTTTTGTTGATAGTTCTTTCTTGTAGTTAGTGAAAGTTGGGTTGGGGGCAGGGGTTACCCTGCACCCCAACTGTCTGTCTTTGGGGCTCTCATAGAATATCAGGGTTGGAAGGGACCTCAGGACGTCATCTAGTCCAACCCCCTGCTCAAAGCAGGACCAATCTCCAATTTTTGCCCCTGTCAAGTTCCTTCCCCACTCTGAACTCTAGGGTAGAGATGTGGGGACCTGCATGAAAACCTCCTAGGCTTACTTTTACCAACTTAGGTTAAAACTTCCCCAAGGTACAAACTATTTTACCTTTTGCCCTTGGACTTCCGCTGCCACCACCAAACGTCTTACCGGGTTTATTATTGGGAAAGAGCCGTTTGGAAATGTCTTTCCCCCCAAAATATTCACCAAAACCTTGCACCCCCCTCTTCCTGAGAAAGATTTGATAAAAATCCTCACCAATTTGCATAGGTGAACACAGACCCAATCCCTTGGATCTTAAGAACAATGAAAAGAAGCATTCAGTTTCTTACAAGAAGAATTTTAATATAAGAAAAAGTAAAAAAGAATCACCTCTGTAAAATCAGGATGGTAACTACCTTACAGGGTAATTAGATTCAAAACATAGAGAATTCCTCTAGGCAAAACCTTAAGTTACAAAAAGACACAAAGACAGGACTATCCATACCATTCAGCACATCTTATTTCCTCAGCCATTTAAAGAAATCATAATTAATGCATATCTAGCTAGATTACTTACTAAGTTCTAAGACTCCATTCCTGTTCTGTCCCCGGCAAAAGCATCACACACACAGACAGGCTTTGTTTCTCCCTCCCCCTAGCTTTTGAAAGTATCTTGTCTCCTCATTG